TGCTCGTTTAAACTCAATGGTTTGTGCAATATTCACTATTGGTCTAGATTCAACCAATCCTGTCGGGACACGAGTCGGCAATGACATTTTACCAAATTATGCGAGTCTCTTTTAGCATGTTTATATGAATATAGTCGCAATTTTTTCATCCTTATGTACGAATCCGAATTATATGAACCCGTTTTATAGGGGGTCTACTGTATATTATATACTCGGTGCAGATGCTGTTACTGCATGCACATAACCAATGTTGTCAGTTGAAGTGTTTTCTGTGTACTTTTACCCAGACTTTGTTCTTGTATACATATTCATTGACACACTGGCTCAACTGAATCTGACTCTGCTTATAATTTAGTTTTTCTCAGATTTACACTTTGCACTTCCAGGCTATAACTAGTGATTCACCAAAGCAAAAACATTGTTGTTATTAACCTGTTTTAAATGAGTCCATTAACATACTGTTTGCATATAAGATGAGAAATTTGGCATGCTTCATCTTAAGTCTGAACAGTTTATACTGAAATAATAGTGAGGTTGCGGCTGAAGTTTTTATCGCTAAAACATGAACGTCGAATGCCACTCCTGTAAGCGGTGCTCGACATTCACGTTTTAGAGATGAAAACTTTGGCAACCTCACTAGTGTTTTGAAAATGCATATATATTTGGGAAGTACAATGGCACAGAACCAGTATCCTGTTAAATTTCAATGCTTGCTGCTTCAGTACAAAGACTGATTTACTGTTTATTGCCAAGTGACTGCTTATCTGAGTATTGGTAATTAACGAATTGCACATACATAATGACACTGTAGCTTTATGTGAAAAGATTAACTAGAATCTGAAATTGTGCACGATATACTAAACAGCCTCCATTCTTGTCATATTTAAGATCATTTGCAATGTAAATTCATGAGTATTCATTCATTGGCATTTTAGAAGGATGTGGCTATATTGAGATTTGTGTACAGTCTGAAATAAAAGACAGTGAAAGCTCAGGTTTGCTCTTAGGTATAATCTGGGTGAATAAAATTGGGGAGAGATGGGGTGGGTTATATACAGTGAAAATCTCATGTGAAATATTTTTTATAAATCCATTTTCAGGCCAATCAAAGTGCCTTAAAATTCAAAGAAGACTTTGATGCCAACTCGAAAGAAATCAAAGAACTAAGGAAAGAGAGTGGAAACTTTGAAAATGTTAAAAAAGTAAGTAAAAACCTTCTGTTTTGTTTAGGATGATAATGAGAAATTAAAGTTATCGAATTGCTCTATTAGGAATTGCAACAAATCAAAGTCCAATTAGAAAAAGAAAAGAAGATTACGAAAGACCTATCTGCTCAGACGGTCAAACTCAATTCTCTAGTTAAAATTGGTCAGGATGCATTGCGTGCTGAACAGGAAACAGTTGAGAAGCTGCAGGCTCAGCTTCGGAGCTTAGAGGTGAGTGCATTTCTTTCTTTTGTCTCATGGAAGCAGATTGAATTCTGATGCGAGTTGTCTATTGCAGAATAAGAATCTGAATGGACCGGGTGCGTCCCAGAATGCGGAGAGTGAAGTAAGTATAAATACTAATATGTTTATCTTTCTCGATATCCTAAAGCGCATTCCAAATCTGCATGATACTATCCGTTGATGTCTGTAGATTGTGATGCGTTGTCTGAACCCACATTAGCAACATTTTGCCAGCTTTATGCCCAAAATTTCTTGGAATTTAGATTGTTTGATATGCTTTGCATAGATTTACAGACAAAACTGTGCTATGCTTTAGAGCAGTGGTTCCCAATTAGTTTTTCCTGCGTACTACTTCAAGAAAGAGCTCAAGCTCGTGTACCCTTATAGCAGAAATTCATATTAATCCATACTAATACAGTAGAACCTGAAACTCGGCTCTCGATAACCCGGCACTCCGGATAACTCGGCCACACCCTGGCAGGTCAAAAAAATCCTTAGTTAATTAATTTTCATTATAGACAGCTTTATAAAAGTACAAAAGCTCTCATAAAGTATTTTTCTGAGGTCTGTCTTATCAGGTAAATTACTGTACACAGTGTATTCATTAATTTTCATTTTCATGTAGTAAAGGCTCTATGC